ATATATATATATATACCTCGGGGAAAAACACTAATGAGAACCGCACAGCGTGCTTTCTGCATTGAAGTAACCAAAGAAAAAGCCTTCGACGGGGATGGAGAGAATATTTCATTCCGTCTGATGTAAAGGCTCCATACATCCAACACTGCTGCACATCCGTTATCCGAACTAGAAGCACAGCACTACCAGTCTGCGTAATGATTGTTAAATCCCTTCATTTAGGTCATTGGCGACTAGTGATTTTGCTCATCTAGGTAATACAGAATAAAAACCGCCGAACGACGAAAAAGTTACTAGTTTGAACTCAGGAAACATCAAGTTATCACGTGTCGCTTCACCTCATACTTCAGCCGTGGAATAATCGAACGAATGGTGCTGCGACTCTGATGATGAATTACAGGCTAACGCAATTCCAGTCAAGTCCAAAGTGGCCGGTAACGTGGTGGGTTGATGTGCTTATGATGCGCTTTGGGGTGCTGGTCAAGTGTTTAATCTGGGTCACCGCCAGGAACTTCCGATCTTAGCGCCTCCCTTTGTGAAATCAGCTATCTGGGAAGCTCTTCTTCTGCATCAGAAGAAACCCCTTCTGAAACTACCCATTTGGGCGGAGACAAATTTTGTATCACAAATAAGACGCATGTGCCTAAAGCAACATATTGCCCCCTCATATCAATGGAAATAACAATAACAGATTTGCAAAAGCTATCCTATTTAGTAGCCTACAACACCTGCAGTCTAGTCAAATGAGCAAACTGAGCTGCTACCTAGGGCCTTATGCTCGCATAAAGCCAATGTATGTTATGTTCCAAAGCACACATCAGACTCAAGACCAGTTTCGCAACTTAAAAAATCCAGATCAAACCTAGGTGTACCGGCGATTCACGAACAATAGCTCCTAGCTTATGAGGGCGAGATGGCTCCAGTGGTTAGAGCGCGAATTTACTGACCGGAAAGTCCGTGGTTCGGACCCGACCTCTGCCTCTCGACTTTCCCTGTCTAGGCTTGGGGAACCTGAAAGTGTCCCAGCCCTCGTGCTTTCTTCGGGTAGAATGGCAACTAGGAGAGCGAAACCGGTGCCTGCTTGCAGCGTCAACTTACGCCCCACTAGAATGTATTTCCGAGGCTGAAAATGATACTTTTTATCAAGATTTATGCAAACCGATTCGTCAACAAGAAAGCACTTACAGCATGATCCTTGAGGATATGATGAAGGTCCACGTAGGCCATTTGAACCCTGCGGGATCACACTCCAATCGGAATCGATACTCGTCAAACGGACAACGGTTCCTTTAGTTGTGCCCTGACTAGTGGTTCTTGCAAACAGGTATATTCAACAAAAGCGAACGTATCACGTAACCTGAAGTCCACTAAGCGCAAATCGACCGTGGACCGTAATGGCCACCACCTATTGGTCGAGAGACTCGAGTGCTCTTCCTTCTGTGATACGTAACTTGATTCCGATCATACTTAACAAGTCGTTTCTGCCACTTCTTTGCAGGTCTACGAGAATTATGTAGACTTATTTTTGGGGAACTATTCTAACCCAGCAGTGTCGATCTGAACAACCTCGATTGCACTCTGGAGTGCAGCAACATACTATCTGGAAAAGTTCGAAACAAGTATGTACCTGGCATTCAAAGCTGCCGACTTCTTTCATACGATTCAGCAGTCGGTGAATATCGTCCAGAAGGCTAAACCTGGCTGATACTAAAAAATCCGTACTAGGAGGCAACAACTACAATTGCAGACAAACGTCCAATGATGAAGAATGATCAGGACAATGGAAGGTGAATCTATTGCCGAAAGCACTGCTAGTGCCTTGAATTCGTTGGAAACGAAGCCGCCTCTCCTCCTGAGCTACACAAGCCAAACATTACTCTCAGACCAATTCTATCGACGATAAACTCCCCTCAGCACAAACCATCGAAGTTGTTGGTGTATATAATGAAACCTGTGCGCGATCGACTGACAACCCACATATTAGGAGATAGTTCCCAACTAACTGCATGAGCACTGCAGTCGAATGTTCAAGGTGAACCTTTCGCAGGGTTTGACGTCACGTCTATGTTCAAGGGTGTGTCTCGACACGAAACCGTACAATTCATATCTGTTTTTGTCCACACAAGCGATATTAACTTTGGAATACCAGAAACCAAACTGAAACCTCAACTTGTTTTGTAGTGTCACTTTCAGCTTCCAAAGTCTATACTACAAACAGGTTGAAGGGGACGCATCGGAGGCTCGCTTGATCCTGTCCTAGCGGTTACAGCGATGGTTAGCATCGAAATACGAGTGGGAGGTCTCAGGCGACAGGGAAAATTCTATAAAAGATAAGTTGAGGACATGTTATTGGTCGCAGGAGAAACGCAAGAAACAATGGAACTGTTTCAGTAACTTAACGCCACCGTCAATTTAGCAGTCGAGCACGAAGCGAATGAAAGTCGTCGTTCTTGATATTCAAATGACCTGAGAGACGATGGGAAACCTCGTAGGCCAGTTCATCAAAAACATACCTGGGAGTTCCCCGCCGATGCGGTATACGGCGAGGGGGAGTTCTAAGGACACTATGTAAAACACAGTACGCTTCGGTCGAAGGTGCGGACCTATTCAGTTCTAAAGGCAGCCTACCTGCACTATAAATTCAGAAGGGACGATATAAGCGCTTGATCTCAGTTGTTAACATCAAAGCAGTGTTCATCTAGAACTGCAAACGTATCCCTATCTCTACGGTCAAAATTCCACCACCCCAGTAGGCCATCTAAAATCCCGTTTATTGTCTTACGTGTGGTTGCTTGACCATTTCAAGAAAACTGAAAGGCAACTTCAAATCCTGAGACATGTGCACGATTGATACCAGCTTCATCGGCAACTTGAAGGCGGACACTGTTTCGATCCGGCAGCTGCATTTCACATTGTGTATACGACCACGAACAGTAAGGTTCTTCAGTTTGCTGAATCTATCACTGAGGATAGAAACCAGAATTGAGTAAACAGGATGATCGACCATATCGTTGATATTTCTTCGGTGATTCACTTACTTCCCAGACTTGTGTTGTTTATCCGATTTTGCTACGTAGTATAAATCTGAAATGGTACAGCGAAATACACGCTACGTGTCGTGCAACATCTCACTTGTCTGCGCTGTCCTCAAGCTCGCCATGGGAAAATCATGTTTCAAGAACCCAGGACAGCGGTACTGTTTTCATCAACGAACAGTGATCACCTCCCTTGAAACTGTTGATCGTCGGACACTGCAGTAGGGGATGGTGTCTTTCATAGGTTTTCGACTCCCAGAACAATGCAAGATAACTCGCATCAGGGCATACCGTAATAGGGGCGAGATAGCTCAGTGTTTAGAGCGCGATTTGACTGACCGGACGGTACGTGGTTCGAACCCGACCTGTGCCTAGCTTGGGCAACCTGACAGCCCTCGTGTTTCCTTCAGGTGACATGGAAGTTAGGCACTGAAAGCGTGCTACAGCTGAACGATTTTTTCCAATTTTTAATTTTATATCGTGAGATTGCCTGAGTTCACTAGTATCACAAGATCAATCTTCTTCCGTAATCAGAGTACACACACAATCAGGCATACATGCACACAAAGCTAAAACACTCGCGCTGGTTGCGTGTGACTGCCAACTGATCTCAGGAGCACACCAACCAGAAGATACGATGCGATTCCAAATTACGCAACACCTGACTCGTATTCAATTGATTGTAGAAATCCTTGAAAAAGGTTGACCTCGAAAACCGGATCCATGAAACGTCGGATTGTAATACCTTATTCTACTACGCTGTTTGAACTTTGAAATATTCACATCACACTTGTTGCATTCAATTATGTCATCGATATGATCGCGGAGGAGTTGAAATGCTCCCGGAGCACTCGTCCGCGGACTCGGAGTGCCCAGACTGCATAAGCCTCCCCAGTTCTGATCTCATCGAAATGTGAAGTACTGAATAAGTTCAACAACATCTCGCGGTTTGGTATGCACTTCAACGCAAGGGGTAAAGTGCCGCTGGAACAAAAAAAACTTCTAGATGAACCGACCCAGGCGCGCAACTGCTCGAATACCAGTGGTCTAGCTAAAGGCCAGATGGGAGAAGCCAGAGAAGCTTTTGCTAACCGCATGGATCGATTCGCTCTTCGCACAGCCATACGAAGTGGGAATGAACCTGGAGAAGTCCAACCATGATTTGGCGATAAAGAATGATAGACATTACCAGCAAGCTTAGCTGCGCTGTTCAGTGCCGTCGGTGTTGTGACTTGATGTAGGATCGTGCAACTCTGTATCGGTCCCTTGACTTCCTGCTCCGCCCACTATGGTATATCAAAAGGTACGGTAGCTCTACACAGCCCTTTATGGAGACAAAAGGAGAATCATTACATCTGTATTCATAGGGTAATAACAGTGTTCCACAAGGTCGTGCCAGAAGCACCGTGAGGGGGCGAGAAGCGTCCAGTCAAGGATGCTCGACCCGGATTGGCTGGCATTCTGACCAATCAGGGCATGCCTTCGTCTGGCCCGTGTCCTGCACGTGACACATCCGTCCAAATGATGTGATGTTCGGTTATTAGGGACGGCTGGCCCCCGAACAGTCAGGGCACCCAGAAACGGGACACATCAGAGGTTGGAAGTACTAAGGGCAAAACTCTGTCACGTTATCCACGGTCTGCATGAGTTCATTGCATAACTTCTCCCGATCTTGCCGACTAAGAAAACCCTATTACCTTTTATACGCAGCTACCCATTTCTGTATTCCAATTCTTTGGCGAACGAGACTGTGGCAGCTAGAACCACTGTGGAATATGTACATGTTTTGAAGGTTATAAGAGTAAGATCAACAAGGGAACAAACAAAGGTCTGTTAAGAGTCACCCTTCGGCCTAAGCATATTAGTACAACGAGTAACAACAGTATTAGTTGTTCAAAAAGGCACTAGTATTCATCCACCGATTCCTGCAACATGAAGGGGAATATCGCACATCCTCAGAATGAATCGTCGCAATTTTTCTGAATGACGCTCAAGACCATACTATTTACAAGAGAATAGATAGCAAGGCGGAAAACTAATGGTGAAACAGATAGTGGGGCAAAGTATGGTAGTACAGTCATGTCGATGTTACTTAGAAATGGGAGTAAACTTACGACAGACATGTCACTAGTGCTTACGTGGGGAATAACAGCGAATAAACTGGTAAACGGCGAGCCTGATTCTTCTAGGAACTGTGAACTATTTAGCTGTACAAGTTCGCATGACTGTGGTCGTACTCAAACTAGTACATTCGTTTCGAAGATTCCACTATGAAGAGCTACAAGATGACTATACCGAATGATCAAAGAAACAGCACCGCACAGGAGGATTCTATATTGGTTCAGTAACGTGAGGATGAGCTCAATACTAGTAACTGCTTCTGGCTTTGAACCAGAAACTACTGTTGAGCTGAGCTAACAATATTTAGAACAATCTAGAAAACGTAGATGTATCGAGCTACGCCCCGTGGCTTAGTTTGCTCACAAATACAAAGACGTTTTTGTACATTTGCGCAGTCAGCTTTACGATCAACGTTGGGGGGATAGGGAAATCAACCAAGGTGAAATAAGGTTTGAAAATCTAGAGATAAGGATGCAGCAATGGTAAGGAAGTCTAACACAAATCTGACGAGGAACACCTGTTTTGGTCTCTCCTGAAAAGTGCTTTCCTCGGAGGATCACGTTCTTGGTATTAGTCGCAGGCTGATCAGAATATCGGGAACAGAATGGTATGCAGACAGCTCCAACCGTAATCAGTGGTGCGGGCAGAGTATGACGCCGGCTACAATGCAAGTTGTCGTGTCGTAGGCGGTAGTTCAGCATCAAGATGACGATAAAGATAGCTCATTGTAAATCTAATTTTATCGGTTTTAAAATAGTGCATGTCGACCAGAAAGCGGTACGGACTACAGCTTGTCCACATACAACACAGAAAAATAACAAACTATGGTATATATATATATATTTGTACAACAGGAAGACAGTTGTGAAACGATACTGGAATATTGTAAGAACTTGTACAAACAGGGATAATATTTTATCGTTTCAATCGTGTGAGAAACAGGTGGATTAGTTTGTGCTCTACAAGTGGGGAAAGTAACCTGGTGAAATCATCTAAAAATGGAAGTGAAAAAAGTGGCGCGGTTAGAAGGCTGAAAAATAAGCAGACCACTGGAGCTTAGTTGTATACCGTTATTGTAAAATTGTAGTTCCTAAGAGTTATCATAACACTGGAAAAAAAGACAAGCGATGGCTGGCAAGAATAGTGTACAACTCTCACAATCACGGTGGAAAATAATATAAGCGATGGAAAATAGTGGAAGAGGATCCAATCACTGCCGAAAGGCTGTGGTTTTTTAGTAATGAGTACAAACAGAGACGAAAGATTTCATGTAAATGAGCTTTCAGAATCCAACTCCACCTTCTAGTGACACCTGAACAAACTTCAACCTCACGGTTTCGTAAATCGTCACGAAAAGACTGAGCCTTCTCACGGTGCAACCGTTTGTGTACCTCAGTAATGCATTTAACTAGATGTCGATTCGGCATCCATAGTCTCTCCTACTACACTGATTAGTGGATACATATAGCAGGGACAATGAGCGAAAACCTGCTGCAATCGATGCCTCTCATCATTCTTCATTAGTCGTTCTTGTATCAACTCCGTTCCTATTTGATCGTTCTTTTGTAGAACCTATCGGGAGGAAACCC